AATAAGTAGTCCGTCCCTTAACTTGTCCACTTTTGTTCCTAACTCCGTGGCCTGCCCCATGCACAAAGGGGATATCGCAACGAACACTGATGTCCCAGCTAACCGTTTGGGTGCGGACAGTCCCAGCGGGCATTAACGACAATACAAAGTGAGGGAAACTCATAAGAAAAACATGGGAAAAAGGGCCCTAATTAATAATTTTCCAAGCAGTTTTAAAATTTTTATTCATAACGTAATGACAAGTTTTATTACGAAGTAAGTAGGTATAGTTCCAAAATACTGGACTGTCCTGTCGATGACATTGACAGAGTGGGGCGCCACCGTCAATACCGGATCGCTGGTTCAGATTTTTACCATATTGGAAACCATATAGTTGAACGATGATAGCGCCCCCCTGGCATTGAGTTTGGCGGGACAGTTCAGCGTGGGTCATCTATATCTACTGGGGCAACACATAAAACGTTTATCATACGTAATCCTTTTATATATTTTACATTTCGACCTTGTACTATTTAACCGAAACGAATTGTTAGGAGTAAAGTCCTTCAATGAAAATGAGGAAGAAAATGGAAAACGCTAGTAAGGTTTGCGAACCCCTCAATATTACGATATAGACATCTGTCGGAATAAAGTGGAATCAATTTGTAACTCGAGCAACGTTCTTCTTGGTTGATAGCATTCACGTTGTTACTAGTTTGACAATAAAATAACAGATGGCGTTACAGGCCCGCAATAATGATATTAAAAATTAGTGACGTTCGTCACTATAAAATAATTAATTGCATAACGGTACACCGTTATTGAATAATTGTTGTTATATTAGCTTGATAAACGGATGATGGGCAACTAAACAAATAGAACATTTTGTTCTAAACAATTTAGTAATATCACGGTTTAAAAATGTACTACATTAATAATATTTTAAACTAAATCATGAAAACACAGAAAACTGCAATCCAAAAGATATTTTATGATTTCAATGTTGTTATTATTGTTTGAACGTCAGGTACAGCCAGGTTCCTCTTTTTGGATTAAAGCTTTTCTACACACCTTTTAAATCGCTTTGTTAGTTATTATAATTATGTATTTAATAATTTATGTCAGTATGTTTAACTTTGTGTGTGGGTGACGTTGAACGTTTAGAAACCACAAATTGACAACCATCAATTATTTTTGTTGTTAATTTAACTTTAGTGCTAATAATCAGTAATTAGTATTAATAGAACAAGTGGCTATGCTATCATCCGTCAGACGTGTGTCGGGTCATCGCTCGTGATTCATCGCCTGACGCATAATGTGAGCAAATGTTAGTAATTTACACACATCAATAAGTACGAGGAAAGCATGTAATTATATTTCGTAAACTGATTTATATTCGATTGTTTTCCTTCAAGCATAAAGGCTTGCACTCAAACCGTATCGATTTTGTATAATGTAAGGCCATGTAGAATACCAATAATGTTAAATGATGCAGATCTGCTTACCGATTACTTACCTTTGTTCTTTTTGTTTTATGTTGACTTAACAGTAAATCAAGCAAGAGTAATGAACAATTTTTGTTTTTGTTCTTAAAGTAGGTAATTAATTATATTATTTCCTTGAGCTCGATAATTTTATGAACAACCATAGCATACTGACATCCTCGTGTCTTGTAATTTGGGTAGGTAATTTGTGTCATCAAACTATCGAGAATCATTATGGTTTTTATTTAGTAATTTACTTGTCCCCGCAAATATTTTGGTAAAAACCAAACACATTGAACGTCAATAGATCCATTCATTTCTGATTTTAGAAATGTAATGAACACTATCGCTTTGTTCTCGTAAGGCAATGGCCTGATGTTTACTGCGAAGGATTAGTCAAAACGTGTTTTTACATTATTACTTGTAAGTTGTAACTGGTGTTATTGACTCATGGTGCCATGTATTTAATTTTCTGTCATTTTGTAGACAAACATGTAACCTACTCTAGTTGAGATTGAGAGTGAATTTATTTTAGAATGCAAAAAATCTGTAAGATTGTTTATTTTGAACTTTTTTGTTTCGAGGTTTGTTCTATGATACAGTAACAGTATAAGAACTGGATGAAATTGGGAACTAAAAACTAAACCATTTGCTGTTGCTTTGGTCTCTAACGCATGATGTTTTCACCTATAATTAAGTTTGCATTTAACAAGTGTCATTTTTTATAGTTACTTTTGTGAAGCCTCAATGTAACCTTGTTGGTGTTCAAATAAATAAATAAATAAATAAATAAACAATACCTTAGTGCCTACATACTAGTTACCTATAACGTAGACCCAAAAACATCAAACAGTAGCGTTTAAATTCTTATCTTTAATCTAAATTGTTAACACAATCATACACGTATAAGGAAACTAATGGTCCTTAATTTCAAAGACAAATTGGTGCGCCCGGATGTTACAGATACGAATTTGTTTTACGAATTGAATTCTATTGAAAGGACGCATTTGTCGTAACGGTCAGCTAATGACAGATATGTAAGCCCAATATTAATCATTTGAGAGCTCTGTCATATACAGTTATCGAGCGTTAATGCGAAGAAAAAAAAGATTAATAACCACTATTATTTCTTTATTGCGGTTCTTCTAAAGCATTAAAAATGTTTATGGGATTCTATTTGATTTAGAGTTCAAGAAAGTAGATTTAATCAATTTATTATTAATTTTACTATTGGAGCATTTGACACTGTATCTACTGGCTTAGTTAGCTATAGCTATTGATTTATTTAGTTTTTGTCCATTATTTTGTTGTTTGAATAATGTAAATCATTTATTGAAATTCATTCAACTACATAATAGTAAAAAGTTTTCTACCCAGCCAAATAATTTTATATAACTTGACTGTCTTTAGATGCTACTACAAAATCTTAGTCATTTATAACCGATTTCTAAATATTTGCAATACCTTAATAGGAGATTTTATAATGTGGTTGGTATGACCTATGATATTTACTTCGTATAAGTACAGTGAACCACTTGGTTGATGTCTGCGTGGTATAACTTTTGCAATAAACTTGTGCCGATCCTGTTACCGCCTACGCTGGCAAGTTGACACATCTAATGTGGGAGCCTGGAATGTCACTGGATCAATTGCATAGTCCATAAAACTTTTAATTGAGCAAAAAAGCAGTTCATTGTAACCATCATCATTAATTTAGGTTTGTTGTTAGGCTGATGAACTGCTGTCGACTTTGCAACTAATGAATTATTCTTGTCCAAGTAAATTACAAATCTCGTAAGTCGTAAGTCTAAGTAAGAAGTATTGCTTAAATTCAGTAAATTTTTACTTTGAACCAATGTAAACAATCCTACTGAAGAACTCCTTCTGAGGATAACAAAGTGATACAGAAATAGAATGTACTCGAGAGGTGAACGATCCTGGAACATAATATTATTTGCTCATAAAAATTATAAACTAAATTAAACATGTGACTCACACGTTACAGGAAGTAATAAACATATTGAGCATGTGGGGAACGTGGAATGTTACTGTTTTTTATTGTTTTTGTTCATCTTTGAGTTTTTTGGCCATTTTAAATTTTGAGGATTTTTATAGGTATCATTATAGATAACTAAATTTAGATACGTTGGCAACATTAATAGAGTTCAAAACTAAATGAAAGGTATGCTTGCTTAAGAGGTAATCCAATTTATTCATTGAATGGCAGTACCAAAAGTGTGTTATTTAACGAATGTATGGAACCGGACTACTTATCGTCAGATCGGATTACCTTGTCTGGGCTACCGCTGGCAGAGTTCATTACAATGGCAAGCCCCGGGGTGACCCCATTTCCTAAATATGGAAAAGTTTTGTAAGGCTATCCGGCTTGCTTAAGCACTTAAGTACCTCACCTTCGATTTAACTGTTTTTGCCGAACTCTTGCTCTTAAATATTTTTACATGGCTTTTTGAACCTTGACATTTGTTTGTTTGGTGTGATCTTGGCCGATAAAGTTTCAATTGCGTCTGTAAACTTGTAATTGAAATTTCTGATATAACTGTTCCAGGAAAATTCTTACGTCTATTTTTTTTAATGTTTCTGAATGTAAGTAGTACCTATTAATAGAACCACAATAAAATTAGCGTAACGAAGAAATTAAATCATTATGATTCAAACAGATTTTATTCAAATATCATTGTATTTTTCTCATTTTCTTTCTACGCGTACAATGATTAATGCACTGGGTGAAGATTTGTAGACCTAATAATGCAAAAGCCAAGGTAGTGTATGTGTATCGATTTGTAAGTAGGTACTATTTATTATTCTAAACAAATAAAGAAATTTTGACTTTGACTGTAAAAATGTAAATGATGGTGGTTTCTTTTAAGAATATAGAATAAGCATTGAATTTTGCAGAATCCAGTGCACACCAGACTAGACTTAACAACACTGGGTATTCAGCTGGCATAAGATTAAATGCGACACATTGCTGTCGCGACAATTAAATCACTTTACAAGTCTCACCATTCGAATTGGTTGCCCACACGGCTTGTCTTGTGACTTGTCGTTTATTCTAAAGACAAGACGCTGTTTGGTAGGTCGTCGTTTCAGTGGAAACAGTTTAAATTTAGAATATCCGTTCGTCCAAACTTGGATGAAATGCGTTCAGTGCGTCTTCAGCTTGGTCTTTGACACGAGCTGCGGTTGTCAGGTGCATAGTGTTTTTTTTGTGCCAATCTGTTGAATGATGGGAGTGTTTGTCGTGACTACTTTATGTTAATTTAGTTTTTATAATAGCACGTTTACGTTTTAGTGCAAGATTTGAATTTTAATTCTACTGTTGGTTGTGTGTGTGTGTTTGTGTAATTAACTAGAAATGGAACTCTTTCACCCAAGAATTTGGTATAGTATGAGAAATTAAAAAAAAAGATTCATAACATTCATTGTATTAATCAGTAAGCGATAGAACAAAGAACAACATCTGAAAATAATAATTATTATACACTTTTTATTATCCAATTAGATAACCTTGTGAGTCATGATTATGATTCAATAAAACAAGTTATCAATAAACTTTGTAAAATTTCTTAAAATATTGACAGAAGATAAAAAACATAGGCAATCATCTTATCTAGGTTACACAAGTAATTACACATTCAACAATACATTAACAATTTCTAATGATATTTTCCACTCTACAGCATCTAGAAAAGTTAAAGAATAAAATCATAATAATATGAAGTATGAGTTGTTGAAACCAACTAACCCAAAAAATCAATAACCATCAAAAGAATGACTGTGCTATAATTACCTACTTATGTCCATAAAAATTAAGCTAATGTGATGTTATGAAACATAATGTTTATGATAAGATAGTATCGTTCTACATTCATTAATAACAACGATAATATTGTACTTTATCTACAAAGACATGCAACATCGATTCCTTCTAAATACTAACAAATTCTAAGAATGTTTGATGAAATGATGCCATGAAAGGTTGAGACAGCATCTAACGTAAACAAAAAGCGTAAACACCGAATCCAATGACTCACAATGACGAAGTTTTCATTATCATATCACAACACGCATACATTACTAACGTTAGTTACGATCTAGCACTCGACAGACATTCTCGTGTTTAATTCACGTTTATTTTCTTTATCAGCTTGTTTTTACGTCGATTCATCAAGGTCGATTTATTGAGTGAGCGCAGTTGACACACTTAAAGGTGTCGCATACGTAAAATCGCACATTATCCTTTAGCGAGAACAAAGGCTTTTATTTGCAAATTTACACTCCGGAGACCGACACACCAGCCTGTTGATCGGGACACGTGTCCTAGACGGTACATACGTGAAAACGGGACGATGCGAGCGTTCGACGCGCGCGTGTGATAAAAATCGAATGCAAAAATGATTAAAAGGAACGGTGATAATGTGTTTGCGATCGCGTCGAGTAACAATCAGTGTCAAGGCGCGCGGAGTGCCGTCTCGCTCTACCCGGGCCCGGGCGGCGCGGCCACGAGGATACCGCGCGCCACTGCGGGCAGGATGACGCCGCCCGACGCGCCACACCACTCCAAGGAGGCGAACATCGCGCTCTCCACATACGTCGAAAAGTGGAAAAACAGATATGAAGAGTCCGAAAGAAAGCACAAAGCGTACCTCCTCAAATCCGAAAAAGGTCAGTCTTGATTTACTTTCGATGGAAAATCTTGTTTTGGTTTCAATTTTTGCGGTTGCATTTTGCGCATGCTCCGAAACCTCGAATGGACATAATATGCAAATGAAAACGCGGATGTAAAACCCTATTCGCGTATTTGTCGGATTATGACAGATGTAACCTGTTGCTTACACATTAATTCGGTAACTCCTATCTAGATACCTAAAGAAGTTTGCCAGTAAACTTTGATAACTTTTATCATAATATTTCCTTAGATCTAGATTGTTTCATTGCCTGATGTAAAACCAGTTATCGAACTGCGCAATATCTGACGTATATGCGTTGAATGTGCAAAAGAAAGGAAACAATAACTATTTATTTTATTATTATATAAAATAACGAAGCACGTTATTTTTTGTAATTACTGACATCACTATTTTTTATGTTTTTTGTTTTGTTGATTACGAAATGTCAAAACTGTCAAAAAAGTCAACAAACAAAAAAATGGATTTTGATTTTGGGTACTGTGCTTGTTGTTTTTGTTTAATTAATTAATTATTTAAAAATAAAGTAAGTAACATAATCATACATTGATTGTCTGAATCTTAAACTAACCAATTTCAACGTTGGTAACTTTTTAGTGGGCACATAATTATATTTTAATTATTTTTTTGGTCACCTTCATTTAAATTTCTTACCCTCAGACCTATTCTTCTAAATTCAGATTTAAAACAAGCCTTTCTACTCCATTTTTAATCAAGTTATCATGATTGTTCTTCATCTTACTACATTCGCAGGTAATTTTCCTAATTAATGCATTCCTCATTGAATATTTGGAAATGGTTAACTTCTTAGGTTAATTTACAACATACCTGCAAGCTTAGCCTGCAAGATAGAGTTAAATTTACTTATTCATTAATTTCCTTTTTAAAACTGAAAAAAAAAACAATAACCACTAGGCATCTTACTTTGTTATGCAAGTAATGGTTTCTTTTTATGTTGATTGATTTGTGAGATAGATTTCTGGTTGAATAACTACTAAATTAAATTACAATACTGCAATATTGCAAATTTAATTTGAATCATTACTCAGTTTATTTATATTTAGGTCTAGGTCATATTCATCATAAATGTATGAATTTGTTGGGTTTTCCTTATTTTGTTTACAATACCTGATTTATGGTGTCATCATAATACTGACGATTTGATAAGATATCTAATATGTTGTCACCAAATAAGGAAGGTGTGAAAACATATAACAAACAACGAAAAATTGTTATGCTCTTGAAAAATACTGTCACCATTTCTAATATCTCTGATGTCACTACAATATCATTTTCCAATGTCAATAAATAATTGACTAAATATTTAAACATCTTGAAGACGAGCCAGTTTTTGGTGCATTTAAAACGCATTCACCGCTCATTATTATAATAAACGTTTTCTGTAGCTTTCAGTATGGACAAATCTGGACAATATCATTCAAATTTATTAAATCGCTAATTACACAAAACTTTACTTTTTTATTATGTTGACTAGATAACAGATAAATAGTTAAAAGGGATATTTAACTTAAATGTCTTGAATCCCAGTGTACTTTGGCTCAATCATTACACTAATATTTGTCACTAACTATTGCACCAGTTTAGGTGTCAACTTAGCTTGCTCATAAGTTAGGCTAATCTTCACCTTAATATGAATCAGTTCAATTATATTTATTATAGTTTTCCTGGAAATATATCCAGTAAACTGTTTACGTAAAAAACCTTACTATAAGCTTTTTGGGAAGTGACCATTCTATACACAGCATGCAACTCCAAAAATGGACTACGTTTACATACATTGTATACTACGTACAAGTATGGGAGAAAATGTACAATTATGTCCTCAACGTGACCTCTTAAGAGACGTACAATCAGGCCTACTTTGTATGCTTTAGATCTTGAAGGCTGGCAAGGGAGACTTAATTATTACCTGCTTGTAAAGTCAAATTTGTTTCATAGTCCATCCATACTTCCATAGTGGATTGTAAACATTATTTTTCTTATTCTAGTTTCTTTGAATGCCAGATGTAGTGTCGTCAAGTAAATATTATTGATCTTTTAAAGTGTATTTTCCCTATTGACTTATAGAAAGACTCTCAGTATCCTCAACATTAATGTCTGTAATCAAAAACTTGAATCTTTAAGACAATTTGGTATCAAAGTTATTTGGCTAATTACAAAATTGTTGTTGCCAGATTCAACTGGCGTGGACTATGGCAACTTAGCACAGTTAAGGCATTGAATTTTGAACTTAATGTAAATGAAATAAAATTTAAAATGGATTCAAGTATTTATTGGCAACTTCGCGCAGTTAGGGCATTGAATTTTAAACTTTATGTAAATCAGTGTTTTTCAACCTGTGGGCCGCGACCCCCTGGGGGGTCGCGAAGCCTCTTTAGGAGGGTCGCGAGAGCTCGTAAAAACTACCTCAGTAAAAAATCTGAGAAGTTTTAAAGATAGATTTATTCGAAATCTAATAATGCAAATGCATAAATGTTGTATAGATTGAAGAATTCGGTCCTTACAACATCTTTGTAAAAGGCATGAAAAAAAAAGCGAACGGTCGGGGGGTCGCAAAAATTTTTTCATACTAGGGGTCGCGTCATGAAAAAAGTTTTCAACCTTTTTTCATGACGCGACCCTTCATTTAGATTGTAAATGAAATAACATTGAAAATGGATTAAAAAAATATTTTTCTTTTTTCACAGCGAGACGGGAGTACGATGACCTCCAACGCCGCCACAACATCCTCACCGAAGAGAGGAACCATCTGGACGCCGAGCTGAGAGAGAGGGAGAGAGAGCTGAACAAGCTTAAGAATGTCTCCGAAAAGCTGTTCAGAGAGTACCAGCAGCTGAAGAACCAGCATGAAGTCGACACTGGAGTTATGCATAAGTGAGTCACTTGATTTTAAACATTGTTATGCATGTTTTTACGGACAAAACTGATTTAGGGAACTCATAGACATGGCATAGCAGAACTGACGCGACAGCAAGGTTCTGGAGTGGAGGCCACGTACCGGAAAATACACCGTGAGACGTCCACCCACAACGTCGACCGACGACTTCATAAATGTAGCTGGATGCAGGCCGCTACCAACTGGGCGACATGGAAATCATTGGCGGAGGCCTATGTTCAGCAGTGGACGTCCTGTGGCTGAGATGATGATGATGAGGTAATGGGTGTGCTAAGGAGGGCAGGCGAGGGTAGCACTTTGTTATACCAACTAACTTTAACTTGCTGGCCCGGCGGACTTCGTAAAAAGAAAATCGCCTATTTTCAGCAGGGCTATTGTAGGGCTATTCTTATGGTAAAATATTTTTCAAATCTTTCCAGTAGTTTCGGAATCTATTAAAATCAAACAAATCTTTCTTGTTTATAATATTAGTGTAGATAAAACACCCTGTATACTACGCCATACGTCCTACATTCACAACCAAACTGTCCTGTAACTGCTAAATGACTTTAGTTGGTTAACCTTATAGATTAGTTCAGGCGTTGTCAACCACTATCCGATGTTATCTGCCCATTAGCTGAACGATTTTTAATGTGTTCCTTATCTTATCTCTAGAAAAATTCGACTTTTGAAATATATTGATCTTTGTGCTTCTATTTCAGTATAGAATTAAACTGAATAACTTTTAACACACATTTTTTAACACATTGCATGCCGTGGCAGCCTTTAATTAAGACAACACTTAGTTCTAAACACTTTTAGTTATAGTAATTCCATGTATGCGTGTTTTTCTTGTTGGTTGTCCTAATAAATAAAATAAAATAAGTAATAATACGGCTCATATTTTACCAGATTGCCGGAAATGGCCGGGTTACAAAAGCGTTCGCGGGTTCGAATTTCGATGGTTACTTATTAAAATGTTAGAATTTCAGACTTGTATAATTCAAACTAATATGTATGATTAGAAAAAAAAGCTTCGCGGTTAGAGCAGTCGCCTGGCAAGCAAAAGGTCGTGGATTCAATTCCCACCTGAGGGCTAACGTAACACCATCGATTTTGCAAGTTTGAAAAAAAAATGCTTCATTGATATCCGCCTTCTAGTCGCTATAAATAGATCGTAAATGAAGGTTCTATTATTAATGACCAAGGATATTAATAATAAATTATATATTTAGGACAACTCTAACTTGCAAGAAAGATCAGCATATCAATATATTACCAATTAAAATATATTTATAATTAAAATCAATATTCCTCTATAATATGGTCAAACTTAATAACATTAACTATATTATGTTATTATGTAATCATGCATATCGAATTTAATTTACATAAATTAATATTGAAATCCACTTTGAACCAGCATATTTATCAATTTCTGTCGCCACGCGCTTTCTACGCTTATACCGAGGCATTTAGTTGCAAAAATTATGATAAGTATGCAAAATAAGGATTTTATAACTGTTTTCACATTTGGTACATTTTTAACGCAGTTTACTTCCGGCTGTGGTGTTGGCGTGACCTATTGGAAAGATTTTTTTAATTAATTTAAATATGAAGTGTTCTCGAGTGATTAGTTAAAAGTGGTGTTATTAAAATATAGGACAAAATGTAAGTTGGAAAAGTGTACATATTTGAATGTAGAATCGTGCTTAGTTTAGCAATTTTCACATATTTGTGTCTTAATGACTGATTGTCATTTAGTATTTTCTTTGTTGAGAATTATGTTCCTGTAGGAAAATTACTTTCCCACTACTGCAACTCCTGTGTAGCCCGGATCTATCTAAAAACCCAACCAGTGTAGGTCAAGTATGTCCCGGGGGAAGTTAAACTGTCATTGGACCCGCAACGAAATTAATCAGAATAACATAGGAGGAGTTCGAAGTTAAGATTCGATTTCCCTTGCCCTCCAGTGCAAAGCGGAGATTTCAAGCGATTTTGTGACAAAATAATTTTTGCAGGTAGCTGCTGTTCGTGGTGTATATCTTTTCATACGGGTTACTTAAATCTTTAGGTGGCAGTTCGCATCCAGACTGAGACAAGAGACCGCCACCGTTACTTGAAGTGCTATAAGCGAGCGAAACAGAGACTGGAGACAGAAACCTAAGTGTTTAGTTTATCTCTGTAACCGCCACCTTTTGTTACCTGCTTTGCACTGGAGGAAGTATAAATAATTGTATTTAAGTAGTAGATTGAACCCTGACTGCGCCTGAATTAGGGTTATGTTAAAAAAAAAAAACAGCCTGTAAGTATAGTATTTTAAGCAAAAGTATGTTGTCGCCAGGGTTATGCAGCAAGCTGGCGAGTGGTACAAGCAAAACAAGCAGCTGAAGCGCCGCAGTACCGCGCTGCTTCAAGCGCTGCCGGCGCGCGCCGTTGACATCGACCTCACCGACTCTACTGACACAGGTAAACCATAGAGATATACAGGGTGTTGGTTTCAATCCTCGCCATATTTAGGTAGTTGATTAAGTAGCTTATTCTGATCACGAATCAGTAAAAAAATTAACTTCGAAAATAAATTAAAACGAACTTTAACTTTAGGTACCTAGTTAAAGAAAAACACCTTTTACACTACCTACTTTACGTGACTTCCTTCAGTAGGTTATCCGACGTGATATGATAAGCGAGCGATCCGCGTAGCTCGATGGGTGCCGCGGTGTAAACTATTGCAGTATTACGAGCCATAGTTCAGTTGATTTCGCACGGTAATTATTCGCTAAAAATAATACCACTTTCGTTTGTAAATTTTTTTGTGGGATAATGCGTTTATACAAGTCATAATAGATTGAGGATTAAATCAACACTCTGTAGAGAGATGCGGACTAATGCGCTGAGTTCGAAACTCAGTGTCGCATTAGAAATTCACACACACAAAGTAATCAAAATATGTGCTCATTATCCACTGCGGTATCAGTACTCAACGTTCGAATAATCTTTAGTACTACGCAAGCAATGTAAACTGTTTACATTAAGACGTCGCTACTGTCATCATTGCTGTCACGAGCAATGTGTTCTGTTTTTGGGCATATTGCTGCGACACCGGCCCCGCCCCCTTGTCACATCTCCCTTTAGTTTCTGTGATCTATGTAACTAATCTAAAGCTTTTTTCGAACTACTCGAGTAATTTAGTAGAGTAACTCGCCTTTAGTAACTAAACTACAGTTACAGTACAGTTTTTTTTACTAACAAAAACTGTACGCACTTTTGTCGAGTACAGTTATATTTATAACAATGAATACTATTTTAAAGACTGTAAACCCTTGAAAAAGATGCTGACAATAGGGACTGAGTTTCTTGCGCTGTTTTTTCGCGTCAGCTCGGCGACTTAGACGCGACGACATGGTGCGGGCGACAATTTCATATATTTTGTTATAAAGATTCGCACACTGAGGGCTATCGTTTTTATACTTAACAGTTGGCACCCCTGGCGATTGACAGGACCTTACTCTACAGTGGCGCCATCTTGATGAGTACAAATGCGATAGTCCTCCTACCACTTTAGCGCTCACCAGTTGGTGCCACTGTCTTCGCTACTAGTAAGTGACAGGACCTTACTCTACAGTGGCGCTAACTGGTGAGCGCTAAAACGATAGCTCTCCTTGGCGTCAGAGTCGCGACGACAAGCTAATATATGATAATTGATAAGAATAAGCGTTTAAAAAAAGTCCGGTCGCCGAGCAGATAGAATTTCGTCCTAACCTCAAGCAAGCTACCTAGCCTTATCGCTCACCCGTAATTATATTGCTGTCGCACTCGCACACTCACCGTGGCTGCCCGTCGCACAGTCGCGACAGCAATATAATTACGCGCGAGCGATAAGGATGGGTAGCTTGGGGTCATTGGACGAAATTCTATCTGCTCGGCGACCGGACTTTAGTTGTTGCTGTCACGTGTCGCCCAGTGTGCTACGCTTAAAGCTAAAGCTTGGTCCGTGAGCACGCAGAATTTTGTCCAATGAACCCAAGCTACCCATCCTTATCGTTCGCGCGTAATTATGTTGCTGTCTCACTCGCACACTCACCGTGGCTGCTCGTCGCACAGTCGTGACAGCAATATAATTACGCGCGGGCCATAAGGATGGGTAGCTTGGGGTCATTGGACGAAATTCTATCTGCTCGGCGACCGGACGTTAGTTGTCACTGTCACGTGTCGCCCAGTGTGCTACACTTAAAGCTAAAGCTTGGTCCGTGAGCACGTAGAATTTTGTCCAATGACCCCAAGCTACCCATCCTTATCGTTCGCGCGTAATTATGTTGCTGTCGCTGTTGCGACTGTGCGACGCGCGCCCGCAGTGAGTGTGCGAGCGCGACAGCAATATAATTACACGCGAGCGATAAGGATGGGTAGCTTGGGTTCATTGTACAAAATTTTACGTGCTCACGGACTAGGCTTTAGTCGTTAACAATCTCTATTTGCTATCTCCAGCGTCAGATACCAGCAGTAACGAGGAGGTGGAGTTCCTGAAGCAGACGGTATGCGAGCTCAGCCGGCAGACGGCCGAGCTACAGACCGAGCTCAGCGCGGCCAAGCTGCACGAGTTCGAAGCTCACGAGCTCAATGTGGCGCTCGCCCAGGTATGGTTGATAATCTATTTATTTATAACAAAGTCGTGTTAGTTTTACCGTTTATAGTTTGAAGAATAGTGGGATAATTATGGTTGGAGCAATTTTTATGATGTTTTTATTTTTGTTTTATAACCTTGTCACTTGGCAGGATAGCACCAACTCCGAAAATATCAATCATGTTATAATTATGTTCCTAGTAAATAAATAATGCTATTATTTTAAAACAATGAATGGATTGATTGAAAAGCGACTAAAATAAATGACTTTTGTAACTGAAAATCAATATGGCTGAATATTATGACTGTATCATCTTACTTTAACTTTAGCAAACGTCAAAAATCTGTCAAACTCCATACATAAAACACCGGTTATTATTATTGTTACGGTTACCGCAACTCAGCTTATGTAAAAAGTTAGCAGAAAGTATTTAAGCTGATTTCGCTTACAATAGTCAGCTAAAAGAAGTTATCTCATGAACCAGTTATGTTATATCATTCCCTCTCGTTCCAGGAAGTAGAAACAGAGCGAGAGAAATGCACATCCCAACAGAAGGAGTTAGAAGAGTTACGCAATCAACTGGAGCGACACAACCGCGTGTCCAAGCTGCTCGTCGACGAAGTGTCCGCGCTCAAGAACAACGCCGACAAGGACAGGGAGATGGCTGAGACGTGAGTGCGACAGGGATAGCAATATTATTAACCTAAAGCTGATGTTAGACGAGTGTATACGACAAAGATAGGTGCCGATGTCCGAGTGCGAGTGCGACAGAAATAGCATTAAGGGTAGAAGTCAATGACAAATAATGTGGGCGCTTAAAGAACAATGAAGATAAGGGTAGGGACATGGTTTAAACGTGGTGCGATAGAGATGTGCCAGCATTGAGTGTGTCATCATCATCGTCATCATTTTAGCCACAGGACGTCCACTGCTATAGGCCTACCCCAATGATTTCTATATGTAGCGGCATCTAGCGGCTTTGTGTTATCTTTATGAGGTCGTCGGTCTCATTGAGTGTGTACTAGGTCAAAATGGGGCATCTATACTTTGTGTTGGCTTATTCCACTATTCCCCGTTGACAATCCCCGTCAACGGGGATAAGTGAACTTTTTGTTCACTATTCCCCGTTACCGTTAAATGAGGGTTTTCGCGAATGAAAGATCCGCTAGATGGCGGGACGTGGATGTGGGGTCCGACTGCTGCGTGATTGGTGGATTTTGACATATCTGTCAATGTCATGTCAAAAATAACCAATCCGGCAGCATTTAGACCTCGCGTCTACGTATTGCCATCTGGCGGATTTTTCATTCGCAAAAACCCTCATTGGATCTTATAATGGGGAATAATGAACTACAAACTTCATTAAAAACCAATTTGTATTTCTGTGACGTATCAATGTACCAAACATTCCTTTCTTCCTCTCTCCAGATACAAATCCGAAGCGCGTGATGCTAAAAAGCGGGTCAAACTGCTCACTCATCAGAGCACGCTGCTCATGGGGGAGTTAGAAGCTGATGAGCGACTCATGCTGCTTCTGACCGAAGTGGACAGCCTCAAGGACGCGTTGGAGAACCAGGCGCTCAGGCACCACGAACAAGTGGAGGAGTTGCAGGTATGAGGAGCTAGTTACAGAGAAATTGAAGAGTTTTAGGTATGAAGGAGCGATTTGAAGAACTGCAGGTAAGAGGAGTGATTGAAGAGCCGCAGGTATTAGGAGTAAGTCGAGGAGATGCAGGTGTATGAGGACCTAGTTGAGGAGCTACAGGTGTGAGGAGTGATTAAGGAGCCGCAGGTATTAGGAGTGAGTCGAGGTGCAGGTGTCATGAGCAATTGGGGAGCTGTAGGTGTGAGTTGAGGAGCTGTAGGTGTGAGTTGAGGAGCTGTAGGTGTGAGTTGAGGAGCTACAGGTGTGAGTTAATGAGCTACAGGTGTTAATTAAGGAGCTACAGGTGTGAGTTATGGAGCTACAGGTGTGAGTTAAGGAGCTACAGGTGTGATTTAAGGAGCTACAGGTGTGAATTAAGGAGCTACAGGTGTGAGTTAAGGAGCTACAGGTGTGAGTTAAGGAGCTACAGGTGTGAATTAAGGAGCTACAGGTGTGAGTTAAGGAGCTACAGGTGTGAGTTGAGGAGCTACAGGTGTGAGTTAAGGAGCTACAGGTGTGAGTTAAGGAGCTACAGGTGTGAGTTAAGGAGCTACAGGTGTGAGTTAAGGAGCTACAGGTGTGAGTTAAGGAGCCACAGGTGTGAGTTAAGGAGCCACAGGTGTGAGTTAAGGAGCTACAGGTGTGAGTTAAGGAGCTACAAGTGTCAGGAGTGACTTGAGGAGATGCAAGTGTATGAAGAACTTTAGGAGCTACAGATATGAGGAATTAGCTGCAGGTGTAAGAAGCGGGTCAAACTGCTCACTCATCAGAGCACGCTGCTCATGGGGGAGTTAGAAGCTGATGAGCGACTCATGCTGCTTCTGACTGAAGTGGACAGCCTCAAGGACGCGCTCGAGAACCAGGCGCTCAGGCATCATGAGCAAGTGGAGGAATTGCAGGTAGGAAGAGCTAGTCAAAGAGCAATTGAGGAGTTCTAGGTATGAATAAGAGGAGTGATTGAGGAGCTGCAAGCAAGAGAAGTGACTTGAGGAGCTTCAGGGTTCATGAGCTATTGAGGATTTGTAGGTGTGAGTTGAGAAGCTACAGGTGTGAGTTAAGAAGCTACAAGTGTCAGGAGTGACTTGAGGAGATTCAGGTTTATGAGGAGCTAGTTTAGGAGCTACAGATATGAGGAATTAGCTGCAGGTGTAAGAAGCGGGTCAAACTGCTCACTCATCAGAGCACGCTGCTCATGGGGGAGTTAGAAGCTGATGAGCGACTCATGCTGCTTCTGACTGAAGTGGACAGCCTCAAGGACGCGCTCGAGAACCAGGCGCTCAGGCACCACGAGCAAGTGGAGGAATTGCAGGTAGGAGGAGCAATTGAGGAGTTCTAGGTATGAAGGAGCGATTTGAAGAACTGCAGGTAAGAGGAGTGATTGAAGAGCCGCAGGTATTAGGAGTGAGTTGAGAAGCTGCAGGTGTCATGAATAATTGAGGAGCTGCAGATGTATGAGGAGCTAGTTTACGAGCTACATGTGTGAGGAGTTACTGAGGAGTTGCAGGAGTATGAGAAGCTAGTTTAGTAGCTGCAGGTGTCATGAGCAATTGAGGAGTTGTAGGTATGAGTTGAGGAGCTACAGGTGTTAATTAAGGAGCTACAGGTGTGAGTTAAGAAGCTACAAGTGTCAGGAGTGACTTGAGGAGATTCAGGTTTATGAGGAGCTAGTTTAGGAGCTGCAGATATGCAGTGCCGGTTTTAGTACTACCAGCGCCCTGGGCGAGATTTCTACGGCGCCCCCTAACTGCAATTCAAACCCATACGAAAAAAGGCGAAGGGTAATAATGAAATAACCATTTATGAAAAGAAATAAACATTTATTAAAAAAAACTAATAAAATTTTACTTTTCTAGCCTTTCTATCGGCGAACTCTTTTATTAAGTTATCAAAGTCGATGTTTTCAGCAATTTCATTTTCGATTGACAAAGTTGCCAAGTTTGTCAATCTAGATTGAGATATTGTCGATCGCAGATAGGTTTTTATCAGCTTGAGCTTAGAAAAACTCCTCTCTCCACTAGCAACCGTTACGGGAATAGTTAATAATAGGTATTCGTAATGCTATCCAAACATTTGGATATAGTTCTTGTAAGTTGCGGTCTTTGATAAAATTTAAAACAAAAACAGGAGTAACCACTTTCTGATCAGGCAAAAACGATTTCAGACTTACGAGTTCATCGCACAACATACATCCATCTATTGGCTCTGTGCACGATTACAGCGCCAACTAGCGTCCACAAATTTGTGGGCTCTGTCACATTGACATTTAGGTCGTATATTTGTGAAAAAATATCGAAATGAAAAAATAACAAATATTTTCGACTAATAAATTGTTGCGATACCACGATTTCGGNAAACATTTATTAAAAAAACTAATAAAATTTTACTTTTCTAGCCTTTCTATCGGCGAACTCTTTTATTAAGTTATCAAAGTCGATGTTTTCAGCAATTTCATTTTCGATTGACAAAGTTGCCAAGTTTGTCAATCTAGATTGAGATATTGTCGATCGCAGATAGGTTTTTATCAGCTTGAGCTTAGAAAAACTCCTCTCTCCACTAGCAACCGTTACGGGAATAGTTAATAATATTCGTAATGCTATCCAAACATTTGGATATAGTTCTTGTAAGTTGCGGTCTTTGATAAAATTTAAAACAAAAACAGGAGTAACCACTTTCTGATCAGGCAAAAACGATTTCAGACTTACGAGTTCATCGCACAACATACATCCATCTATATCTGATTTGGAATTTACATTTAATTTCAATTGAAGATCACTACAGAGTTTGATAAGGTCGTGTTTTTCTGGAATCTGTTTTAAATTGTACAAAAAAGACCAAGATTCCGAGTACTCACATAACTGTTCAAATCTTTCGTTGAGTGAAGTTAACGTCGTGTCCAAAAGACAGTTGAAAAATTCAACCTCAAATTTTTTTTCTGGAGAAGTTATAGGCTCATCTTGGGCAGTTTCACCAGCTTGGCGCTTAACACGTCGAATTCTTGTTGTCGCTCTAAACACAGGTTCTATTTCTAACTCTTCAGCCAATTCCTTCGCAGTTGAAATGGCGCTTTTAAAGCCTGTATTTCTATATTCTTCCAAGAAATTGCAGCATTTTTTCAACATGTCTGTGCATTTACCGAGATCCATGTCTGTTGATTGTAGAGATTTACTAACGACATTAATTTGAAAAAGTATGTCATACCAGACAACCAATGAAACTATGAAGCCGAAATCTTTTAGCTGTTCGGCTAGAGTAGTAGCCTCATGAGAGACTTGAANGATGGCGGCGCGGCCATTTTGTTTTTTTAATTTTTTCTCAATTTTTTTAACACATCTTGGCAACCAAAATAAACTCCCAAAAAGGAAAAAATTCAGGATGAAAAACAAAAAAGTTGTTGTCTCAAAAAATGCCGCCATTTTGTTTTTTGGTTCAAAAAATACGATATAGCTGTCTGTCAAAAAATCTAGTAAAAAACAAACACTAACAATTTTACCCCTCTCCCCTCTAAATACCCCAAAAATACCCCTGATCAGTGAGTGAGTGAGTCAGTGAGTAGGAATCGAGCTTTATATAGTATAGACTAGCTTTGGTCGCCCGCTACGCGGGCTACAAAAGCTAGTATTATAGATAAGTGAGTAAGTGTATTATGCCTTCATTTATTAAGTACATTAATAACGTTTGATGAATATTTACGTGGTAGTTTGCCCAAATGTATGTGTAGGTATACTAAATTGCGGAAACAAAAAAAAATTGGTTTGTGTGTTATTTAACTGTATCTAACTCTATAAAATGGTTTATGATAAAAGGATATTATCTCTTCAAAATTTATATAAATGAATGAACTTTACACAATAATATTGATTTGTAATTCTGTGTGTAAATTAATGGCAACTATTGCTTACATAACTACGAATGCATTTATTTAACTAGATGTCTGTAATACAATTTTTATTGGAAAGAAATTGTAAAATGAAATAAGTAAATTTATTATCTGTTCAAGAACATGATCTTTATAAAATAGTGTTACAATAGAGTGATTGTGTAAAAAAAATTTCTAGATAAATTAAAAAAAAAACATGTTTTGATCTTAATTAAATATCAATGAAAATGTAATTTTGAAAATGAATATAGAATTTATTTATGATTGATTATTATTAAATGGTAAATTAATATAAAGTATTTCATAATTTCGGTCAAATAATAAAATTGTGTAATGTCATATTTTTATTTTCTGCATTTGTATGTATTAATGGTATTTTTGTTATCATTTGGAATAATTGGAATATTCATAGATATTTGGATAGTCATTATTTTACATTGTATTTTACAACTACCTACCTAGTTGATTTAAAAATTTTACTCTTTACCAGCCGTTTTTTTTAATCAGGCCATATTTCAATACGATCTACAGATTTATATTTTTTCTAATAGACATAATAATATGTACTTATTTAGATCTAGTTTTATTCAGCAAAAAAAAAAAAAACTTGTAACAAAATGTAAAGTGAAATATGTATTTTCAACAGTACCTACATTACTCCGACATGTTCTATTTAATTGTATTAAATTCAAAATTCAAAATATGTATACTTAAAACAAACAACTGGAATCAATAACATAACAATAATTTTCTAAATTTTTATTATATTTGGTTTAATTTAAAAAAAAATGATAACACATTTTTTTTTCTCAAAATTACGGGGGTGGTGTAGTGTATGACACACCTCTCCTTTTAGGCATAGTTATACTTATAAGTTAGCTGTAAGCCATTTTAGAGTAGTATTAAACCGATCGTCGACGAATTAACATCTTTTCATTCCATCTCCTTGGTCCCCACATTACACAGTCTATTGTTGTCAAAGTGTAAACAAACTTTATTTTAAATGTGTGCAATTGATTTTGTGAATTAAATTGCTAAAATCTTTTTATAGTCGTGAAAGAAAAGTGGTTCATAATGTGTTAAAGTACCTATTTGTCGAAGAGAAATACTAAGGGTTCGGACAATATTTTCATTGAATAATAATTTCCGACAAAGGTTGTCAAATTGACTGACATGTTTATCGTATAGTACAGTCAACTATGAAAATTAGCTGTGGTTTGTTTCAACTACCTATTTTAAAGTTTTTTGTCACTTTGTAAGTGTTGAATTTTATGGAATTGGGAAAGAAGTACCGAGTTTGAAGCGTTTATGAGCAGACATTAAAAAGAAACCACTTTATTTCAGCCAAACTCGAGTATATTTCCACTTACACACTTACACTTCAATTACTCAATATTCAACTCACAATAATTATTATAACAGCTATCGGACATAGATTCGTCAAGTGGTCTGAGTTCTATCGAAGCTAACAGAGTAATGATTCTGAGTGCCTACAACAAGCCTCTCTATCCCCTCCACATTACCACTTCCTTGCCAAACAAGATTGAAGTTTTTAACAGTGTTGCCACTTTTTAACTTAAAATATATACTAAAATCGTAACATTTTTTTAAATTCACTAAAATAATAACAATATTTTCTAAAAATCATGACAACATTGTAGTTGAATATTCAAGTTCAGAATTTGATTATTGATGAATAATAATAAAATCCTACTTGCTCGATTGATGGTTTCATTTAATTTACTTAAACCAGTTTACCTATAATATAATATTTTTTTGTAAATTTATGAAAATATTAAATTAGCCCATAATCCTGAATCCTGATACATAAAGTTATCCTATTAATTTAATACAGGTACGACTGTACCCAGTGTTGCACTATCAAATGCAATTGACGCGCCTCTATGCCAGGGTTTTTATGTTCCTGGTCAGGCTATAAAATAAAATTGTACTTACCTAATTAGTGAAATAATCCGTCATAAAGCAAATACCTACTTAAACACTATTTGTATTTCAACTTTTTGGATAAAACCTATGTCACTCTGTAATCGGCGACAAAAAGAAAAAAACATGCACTTCGTAACTTAGCGTGGACCGCCAGATTACTGCGTCTGTTTGTTTTAAAATATGTTAATTGCGATAACTGTTTTTAAGTGCGTGCTCCGATTGAATGAATAAGAATGAGCTGTGTTCCGCTCCATCAAAAATAACGCCAACTCTTTTGAACTAAAATGTTAAAAAGAGATAGATAATGTGTTTCTCTGTGGTCGGGGATTCCCAGTAAAATAAACTGTATGTATGTAGTGCTACGACCGAACGGATTGAGCACTGCGTTCCATTCTAGTGTTGCCAACACATCGTTTTTTTTTTCGCTTACAGAGATGGGAATATAAAGGGGCGCCGCTTAACGGCGCCCCTCAAAGTCCGGCGCCCCTGGGCGGTCGCCCAACCGCGCCCTACCCTAACGCCGGTACTGCTCCCAGGATTACGGGACCCAGCGCACGGCAAAAAACACGCTGCCCGGATTGTAGAGATGACAGGGTACAACCCGGGAAAACCCCACGGATCCGGGCAATATGCCCCGACGACCCCAATGCCATTCGACCCGGACACACGGCCCCGCCGGCCTAGGCACCCCTATCTACGCCTCAGACACTCAAGCCACTCCGGTCCATTCCTCCGGGGAGGAATAATAGAATAGAAATAAATATATTTGATTTGATTTGATTTGATTTGAGGAGCAGGCAGAGCGACGAATACCGGAGGTCTTGAGCCATAAGGCCTTCCCCATTTGGGCCCGACAGGCCTGCCGACTTGACAGATCCTGCCGCGCTCTGGTTTTGGTTCGCGCCGGCCGCAGTAGGTTATGTGGGCCCCCCCCCGATTGGGGCATCCCCCCTAAAAACCAGCGGGGTTCTCTGGGGGGCCACTTTTTTTTTTTTTTTTTTNTTTCAGCTAAATACAGTGTAATATGCATTAATCTAGACAAAATATTATTCCACCTTGTAGTTTCCTTTCTAATCAAATGTTGCTCTTGACAATCTATTGTTTTTCCCGTTTTTAATCTTAGTTCAGCCTCAATCCATGAGAGGTAAAACTTCTTATGAAAAGTGCTACTTTCATGAACTTTTAACATTTCTGATAAGTGTTTCCAGTCGTTATATCCTTCAGATACTAAATTCGACGTTGAGCTGCTATCAAATAGCCGGCAACAAAAACAGTAAACTCGATTTTTAGAAACTGAGTATATTAACCAACGACGCTGAATTATTTCATTGTTTGCAAGTTTTTTGGTAAAATGAGAATTTGAGAAATGTCGCCCTGTATCATTCTTTGGATAATTATCAATGTGAGTTTGCACTGGGCCATTAGTTATTATATGATCAATAATTTTGCTATTTCGAGTGAGTGGCCAAGTGGCTGGATCCGATATATTTGGAACAAGAGAACTAACGTCATCTAGAATTTGTATTTGTTGTACATCACCAATAGTGTCATCCTGAGCAGCATCTGTAATTGTAACACAACTTGTCTCCTCACTTCGGGAAACTTCGTCCACAATCTCTTCAACAGCTAACTGATCTGACTTGTCAGACAGAGACTCCACTACCGATGCATTCGCTTGTATTTCAGATGTAGATGCCACATTAAGGTCTTGATTTTTTGTTGTGATAATATATTTGCCTATATTCATAAACTTTTTTGTTTTTTCAAATTCCTTTTCTTTTTCTGCTTTTCGTTTTCTATATTTTGACCCAGATGGTTTGCTTTTGAAAGGATCAACGTGTTCAGACATTTTGTACTAATCAAATCTGCAACAAATTAAATCTGCGTAAGTCCGATCATTTCTATAAATTAATTAAATATAACGCTATTGAGTGAGGACGACCAAAAACGCTTTATATTCAGGAAAGCGTTAGCATACACGTGAACTACGATCGAAAAATCTAGGTAAGGTAATATTGTCATGGCAGCGGAATAATTGTGAAATGTTATATTTAAAAGCTTGTGTTACGTGATAGTGCTTAGATTTGTATGAAAAAAATCACGATCATCCACTCGTTCCCGAAAAAATGACTTCTATGTACAGTCAGATGCAAAAGTCGGTGGACACTTTTCACCTTTAACACAAAGGCTTACGAATGAACAGTGTTCATCCACTTTTACACTTGACCGTACCTCCTCGACATTCATTTATTATCTCCGTGTTAAAATTTCATCAACATTATATAGTCAGTTCCAGAGATATTTTATAATATATAATTTACTTTAAATAGATTACCCCACTCCAAACATAACATAAACAAACAAACAAATGTTACCTCTTTAGTATAATAAGTAAAGATAGTTAAAATAAAATTGTACTTACCTAATTAGTGAAATAATCCGTCATAAAGCAAATACCTACTTAAACACTATTTGTATTTCAACTTTTTGGATAAAACCTATGTCACTCTGTAGTCGGCGACAAAAAGAAAAAAACATGCACTTCGTAACTTAGCGTGGACCGCCAGATTACTGCGTCTGTTTGTTTTAAAATATGTAATACTAAGGTACCTGCATGCCAAATTTCAAGCGTCTATCTTACGTAGTTTAGATTTTTTTATACAAGTGTTTTTTCCCGCTAACTCCCGTTCCCATGGGAATTTTGCAATATCCTCTTGTAACTTAGCTTTGACTTTACTAAGGTACCTGCATGCCAAATTTCAAGCGTCTATCTTACGTGGTTTAGATTTTTTCATACAAATGTTTTTTTCCCGCTAACTCCCGTTTCCGTGGGAATTTTGCAATATCCTCTTGTAACTAAGCTTTAAGTTTACTAAGGTACCTGCATGCCAAATTTCAAGCGTCTAACTTAAGCGGTTTAGATTTTTCATACAAAAGGATTTTCCCGCTAATTCCCGTGCCCGTTGGAATTTCGGGTATTCCTTTCTTAATGCACCTCTACGGTACCTAAGCTACGTCCCTTCCAAATTTCAAGTGCTAAATTTGTAAACTATGAAGGGATATGTTTAATCATTAGTATAACATTAATAGCAGGGTTACCATCTGAAATCGGCTATTATTGGCTATTTATGGCTAATAACTGCTTTTAATCCGTTACTAGCCAATTGCTATTAATCGGATTATTAGCACTTACCCATCTCTAACCACACCGCAGCTGCGCAGGCCCCGGCGCGGGGCTTTGCGGTCCGCGGCCCCGAGGCCACGCTAATAGGGTGATGCCTAAACGTCTCCGATCTAGTAATACACTATGTATACCTACAAAAGCATTGTCGTATACCTAGAGTATACTAGAAAAGAGACGTTTATCTTGTGTTGTGATGTAGAATACCTACTTGAAGTTTATACTGAATGTGTAACTGGGTCAGACAGATTCGATCAGCATTTTCTATGAGAGATTTTTGACAAGGCTTCTTCATTTCAGGCAAGGTCGAGTCACGGTCGAGTCCAGTTTATGTATAATTTCAGTCAATTTTTCTACTTCAAGTTTCAGTACCAAACTGAAATTTAATTATTGTTAGTTCTCCTTTTCTTTTGCGAGAAGTAATATAATAAGTAATAATTTAATTGTTCGCATGCACCTATCTCTAGACTAGAGGTTAAAATAATTAACCTGTCAGCTCGCATGCACCCCTGTCTCCAGCAAGGCGGCCATTACGACGCTCCACACGTGCTGTATTGGCACAAATGAGCTAATGCACTTGATTGGATTGTCTCGCTACAGGACTACATTCTCGTCTTATAGAATAGTTACTAGCTATTGCCCGCAACTTCGCCCCTGAATTTAGGTATGTAAAAATGGGATTAAAGTTCCTAAAACTATCTCTATCAAACATCTACAGTTCAATGATCTCAAAGGTGGTGAAAAAGTAAGAGCAAAAGAGTTTATACACTCGGCATCAAATAAATCGCACCTCCCGCGACAAGCACTTATCAAACGTATGCATCCCCACTTCCCACCAACATTGGTACCATTTGAAAGCCTAGTTCTAAACTTCATTTCATTAAAGGAAAGGTTTTTACCCCAAAAATGTGTCATTACAAGGATCCAGAGTCACTTCTTCAAAAAATAGGTAGTTACGCTATAGCCATTTTTTATGACTATAAAACTGTTAAGTTGGGATTAATCGCTATCCATCTGTTAAAGAGGACACGTGAGATCTTTATTTGGTTTTATAACCATAAAAATTGGTCTAATTGATCCCAGAGGTGAGCCCAAAGTGAGGTCTATTTTCAAGTCACATTTATGGTATATGTTAATCATTTATTTAGAAATGAAATGTATTTTTCTTTAAGGATATTTATTGAGCTTTCAAATAACACCAATATTGTTGGGGTACCATGATTGTGTCAGAAGAAAATCTTTAAAGTTCGCGTCGCGGAAGGTGCGGTTTATTTGATGTTGAGTGTATTTTAAGGTGCATGAATTAAGATTAAAAATATAATAAGTAAGTAGGTATCCCGATTTACAATCAATATAATTTTTCCAAAGTATTTTTTGTCTATCCTTATCCCATGGGATTACTTACTCAACTTTCACTGGTTGGGTTTCATTATAGATCTTGCTATAGGTATATGAGTTACAGTGATCGTAGAGAGAGGTCTAAAGATCGTTACATATTTTAGTTGTAATCACGTCATCATTTTTAGAGGGATCTCAAGAATCCGACATATTACACACAATATTTATGCCCCAAACCTTTGCCCGAGGCTGTTAATATGCTGCCCGTGGCTTGCCGCATGACAGAGTTTACTGGAATTCTAATATACGAATAATATTTGGGTACATAATAATGAGAAAGGGCCTGTTTTATTAGTAGTTCAGAGCTTATGTGAACCCAAGTGTTTTCAAGTTAGCGATGGGCTGTTTTGATGAAATTATCAAATATTGACATTTTGGATTTATGAAAATGTTCTACAACGCTCTGTGGTTTCTGATTCTAGCAATAGCTGTGAATAAATTAAAAAATTTTAGCCGGATTATGTATCATTTTATTAATAGAAACTAAAATAAAGATAAATTAATATCTTAAAAATTCGGTTATTAAGTAGGAGAAGTGACATACGATAAACTGAGGATTTAGAGATTTGGCCCAAACACATGTGGTCTAGAGCAGTTGCAAACAATGTATTGTAAAGAAAATATTATTTATTACACAGGCAGAATAAAAATCTCTTGTATAATATCGGTCCATGTTTATGGGTCATAAAAGTCTGGAGACGGCAGCTTGCGAGCAACTGTCGAGAGGAACTTTACTTATAACTCACCGTTGAGTATAATGATTCCTTCTTGAGTATCGAGCGGAGGAAATTGCAAGGAAAATTTGTGGGCCGAATTGAGCTGCGGCGGTATCAGACGTAATGCGTGCGGACCGCGGCTCGGTTTGGTGTTATGGCCCATCATTAGCTGAAGGAAATCGAATTCATGGCAGAATGCTTTGGGTGTCGATGTAATTTTGGAGGTTGCCATTGTCGATTAAAGCCTAGAATTTCTCCTCGGAAAAATATTTTTTAAAGTGAACTGCAAACTTGTCCCCCATTTGCTCAAATCTTAAAATACTTCAAACTATACCTATTTGAAATTGGATAGAGTTGTGACCTATTTTATTTTCAATATCAGTTTTAGCATAAAATATGTATAGAAGCAGGTTTATAATAATTGCAGACTTTTAATTTACATTCAAGACAGATTAAACTGTAATTGCGTAATTACAAAACTATGAGTCTTGTATGTAGACTGGGTCACGGTCTTAAAAAGGCTATAAGCAGCAAGGAAAATGGTTTTTAATTCAAGTTACAAATGATTGTGGATTAAAATCCATTAAGTTAAGTACTTAAGTAATTCTCCTTTGAAAATAATATTAAGCTTAAAAAGATAATTTAAATTCATACAAAAATGCTCAAGACTCGTCACCGTTTATTTACCAAAGGCACTCAACCCTAAATGAGCGATGATCACAAATGAAGTCGTGACGTCACCTAATTTTAAAGTGAAGGGTAACCAAACCAGCCCAGAAATATCTCTAATTAGTGTGGCATTCGTTTTGTTCATTTCCATCTCCCTTCATTATTTTGGTTTTATTATTTTTTGGAACAGTCGAAAGGGTCCGAGCGTTTCCTGATACTTATGTCGGAGCCGAGCGTAATTAAACTTAGTAATTAACAAAAGCGTAATTTTGGGCGAACGGTCGCACAACTCTGTAACCAGTCGGGACTGAGCAGCCAGTAAAAAAAAATTTCAAATCAAGATCAAGATTTGTTTCTTTTTTATCAAACAAATTAGCGTCAGTTTTTAGCAATGAACAGAAAAGGGTGAATGTATAAGTGATGAAATTATAGAGCATAGTTTGCACAAAGAGCATAAACATGAAGTTGCTGAACACCACGATTTGTGACCTTTCAAACAGTCTCCCACCCTTTGTGCGTCTAGATTATTATTTAATCTATGACCAGCCTCCGGAATTGAGAGCCATTGCGGTTTGCTAAATGTATTTACGAAATTAATTTATGACTCGGCACGCAATGTCTTTGCAACAGACAACTTCGCCGGTCGCAGTCCGCATATTGTTCGGAAACTTGAGGGACACTAATGGACTGGGCAAAAACCAACATGGAGCCGATCCTCAGCTTCGCACACATTACTAATTACTAATTAGTGAATAGACATTAGGTAACTAGACTCTTACGTCACAGATAAGCTGTGACCGATATCTGTATGGTATACGTCAGTTTTGGGGAAATTATGAATGATCTAGTTTACATTTTGTTACTGAAAAATGAGGAAAAGGCGCACGTTAGAGGTTCAAAGAATGTCTGGTGCTGATGAACATAATAAGGGGGATTTTGATAGCCTTTACCTCGGCCTCCCCATTTAGCCGCATTATTATAACTTCAACAAAAATGTCTTCAGGTTCTTATTTTTTTTGATTGGTCACTCTTTTAATGCTCTACTGAGGTTTGCATCTAATTACTTATCTAAGTACACACATGCAAATACGTAAGAAAAGAACTTCAAGGCTCCCGCGGGGGCTCGCCAGCAAAGCCTGTCAGTTTGAACCCGCTCTGATTAGATTTGTAAGCCAAGCGCGATTTAATTATCTGCAATCCCGAGGTGGAGCGGACTATGATGTAGTTACCCTGACGGCTGCAACACTGCTGCCGAGTAATGAGGTTACGGAACAATTTAAGGCCACATTTGCATACTGCGAATTTCCAAATTTCCACGATCCCGTCAGATCTATTTGGCGCCATTTATTAGTCCCTTTAAGACTGAATGATGCCACGTCATAAAGCGAACCGATTTGAAATTCAAATGGCTGTTTAATTGGTGTTTAATAGACGGCTCGCAATGTTTGTGTTGTCGGTGGTCGGTGATCAGTTTGCATTATTGGATTTCGGCATTGACTATGCTCGGTATGTGTTTTAGTTCTGAATTACCAAAGTTTATTGGGCGAAATTGTGCGGTTAAAAATCAATTGATGCATCTAACGGTAAAGAAATAATTATTCTTCAAAATATGCCAGTAGGTAGGTACTTTACAGATTTAAGTAGAAAAAGAAAACAGAAAATAGCCGTTTTTCCTGTAATGCGTGGAATTTTCCTTATTGCCGAGTTTTCCTTAAAATAAACTTTTTAATTGCTGGATCTTAATAATAATGTATTAAATAATCCCTTTGTGGAAAAATAAGGGCGCACAAGTCTTTCCTTTTTCATACCTAAATATTCGGTAGTCTCTTTATTAACTTTTACAGTCTTGAAGATATTGTAACCGTAATCACAAACTACAAGCCATAAAGTAGGTATGAAGTGAAACAATCCATCTTGACTTCATCACGACGTATAACCACAATTATTAGCTCCGTATGTAAAGAGCAATAAGGTTCATTTCTGCAACATCTACGGGGTACTTACGCAAGGACTTTGCCGTCATATTGCAGGAATCGTAGCAGGGGATCATCATGGCTTTTCGCCTTCTTCGGGGGGCGCACCCCTTTCCAGCGCTCCTTCTGAGCGTACGCGTCGACGGGCAGATCCTCGGGCTTCGCGATCTCAACCCCTTGAGATTCGAGCCATTCCTGAAAAAATGTTCACGCTGAAAATGTTTTTCCTTTGTTGTTACTAACCAGCTTTAGATTTCTTTGACGCGAGAGAAACTAAAATCTGGGCCCGTTATATTTTTTAATACGAATAATGAGTTACTAATAAATGGGTGCATGAAAATATCGGTTTGTAGATATTTGACTTGTACCTATTAAAATATATTCAGTTACATAGACACTGTCGTTATAACCTTCGACAAGTAAGTTCCCTATAAGATTTGTTTTTCTAATAACTATCTAGTTCTCACGTAACAACTATCAAATAAATATATTTTTAAATGTGCTATCCGGTTCTGTATTATTGCTTTTCATAGTTTTAGTAGGAACTTGTGATTTCTGCGTACTTATTGTAATTTTTCCTCGTGGCAGGAGTATGATCATGAATCGCGCTATGCTCGTGTGCGACTGTTCAAGTACAGAGTGCTTAATTTCGTCACATCGGCTGAGTGCCTCCGTGGCGCAATTGGCTAGCGCGTTCGGCTGTTAACCGAAAGGTTGGTGGTTCGAGCCCACCCGGGGGCGTATCTTTTGAACCTTTGAAATGGCAATTAATTTTAAAATCCTTTATATTTCACCTTTCGCTCAACAAATTGAGTTCTTATCTACCAATGACTGAAGATTTTACTAGTAAAGTGTGTAAAGTGTGTTAAGCTGAAATTTTACAGTGAATAAATGCTTATTTCAAGTGGGTATGTATATGTAATATAGTGCCTAAGAGTTGGCGCACACCGTTGATTTTTAGTTGGCCGATAGTTGTGCCCGATTTTAATTTGTATGAAGAATCGACCAAATCGAATCGGCGTAGTGTGCGCACTCCCATACATGTCTATACTGATCAACTGCCCGACTAACTATCGGCCGACGAAAAATCAACGGTGTGCGCCTACTCTAAATAACACCATGTATGCGTTTGCACGATTAATTAAGTACATATTTTGATCCTGTAAATTCAAACAAACGCCTTTAAGTTTTGGTTCAGCAACATCGCGTGTCATCGCCGTATGCCGTCGTATGCGCCCAGACACATTAACATGACTGTAGTTTCAGTACTTTCAGTTCTGTGGTGGGTAACACTAACCTTGCATCTAGGTATTCAGTGTATAGTCCAGGAGATAAAATTAACTCCCATGTCATTTCCAGAAAGGCATCTAAGATGCAATAAAACGTACTAAGTATGGAACATAATTATGTTTGATTAAGTGCCGTAGGCGTAGGGATTTAATTTATTGTAAGTACTAGTTATTTTCTAAATACATAATTTTATTATGTTTATTTTTCTGAAATAATGTCCTAAGTAAAAAAATAAGAATTTCTAATTTAATCAAATCGATCTACCTACTATAATTATTGATCTGATTTGTCTATCTAATATATACTTCTAATGATAAGCCCGCATATAATGAATTTTTTTGTGTTGCTAAAGTTTTAATATTTGCAAAAATAACTTACCTAAATAATAAATAAGGCCTAGTGTCTATGCTAGTGTTTAACAGGGTAATATCAGAGGGACATGCGCCGCAGGATTGTCTCAGAAACTTGCGTGTAAATGTGACCAGGCGCCCGCAACTGGGTTATCTAACGTACGAAAATGCTTTTTATATCTCTTTCATTTTCCGTTGGGTTGAAAGAGAAGAAGACAACATCCTACAGGGTAAAGCGAGCTTGCAGGTTGGCACGAAATGCACATCCCATTCAACTCGTGTTACATTTTGTAGAAGGCCCTGATAAATATTAGATTTGGTTCCCATGACGATGTTCACTGAGTAGGTAGTTTGTCGAAGTTAAATTACCTGCACTAAGCCACACTAAGCTTAGTTTAATGGTGGACGTTTATTTCACAATAATTTTATTAATCTTGCAAAAACGTTCACAAAAGTGACCGATTCTCCAAAAAAACATCCTACATTATTTTATTACCACCTCGATAATCTTTACCACTTTGAGGGGTTTTCCAATTTCCAAACACCACAATCACGGTAGTGTGATATACATTAATGGGCAAGGAATACATTAAATTTTGATTTTGACCCTACTTATCATTTACCTTTGTACCCATCGATAAATGCACACATACCAAAGCCCAGTCATATTACAACACAAGCTTAAAAAACACTGATAAAGCAAAACACGCTTGAAGTTAGTAGCGAGCCGCTATGCATAATCTACAACCACAGAATAAGTAATAGTACAGGTACAGAAGGATTACTCCGCAAGACGATTTAAATAAATGCGAGTCTTGCTACGACGCGATACAGTGGAATTCAGCTCGCACAGCACTACGTACCTACAATTTTATTCACCTACAAGTTTTGTCTCTTTCTATCGCGTGCCTCTGAACTCTTCTTACGCTGTTAGGGTTGCTGTCTAGTGAAAAAATAATTAATCTACTTATTTGTAATGAGGTACGTATGTAGGTAAGTATGCATTCATTATGGAAAACCTTGGGAGAGGCCTTTGTCCAGCAGTGGACGTCATTTGGCTGAAACGAACGAACGCATTCTGAGCAGTAGTCATAGTAGGTTAGGTTCCTATACTATCCTAAGAATTATTGATTACCTACATGGCCAACATACCTTTCAGCATCTTTGGGAAGCGAAAAAAAAAAGATAAATCCGGTAGATTTCTTTTCGAATTTAAACACCCGAACGCCGCACAATATTTCTTTCTCTTTATGTCCATTTTTAAATAATACTTCGATCATAGAATTATAATCATACTACAACGCACGCCAGCGTCCTGACGGGCGCGCGCGTGACACTCGACTGATATAATACCCGCCGGCGGGGCGCTTCGCTGTAGGTAATTATCGGATGTACCGCGCGGAGTGAGCCAGGCCTGCTACAACTTCAACCAACATAAAAACGAACGAATGACTTTGACAGTGAACCCGTTGACACGGCTAGGTGAAGAAGTGTTACCAGCGAACCATTAACATAAACGGAAAACCGGTATTACAATGACTTTTTCGCCGATTGTACAATCGTTTCTCTTTTACTCGGCCGTTCTGGCCCTGAAGATGCTCGTCGTGACGTTATTGACTTCACTGACTCGCATAGCCAGAGGTGTGTACGCAAATCCAGAAGATGCAAAAGCGGCAAAAGGGAAGGTGAAGTACGATGACCCCGCCGTGGAGCGCGTTCGACGCGCGCATTTGAACGACATGGAGAACATTCCAGTTTTTTGGGTTTTGGGAGCGCTGTACTTGACCACTGACCCTGTGGCTGCATGGGCCCTCCTACTCTTCCGTGCATACACTGTGTCCAGGATTATCCACACCATCGTGTACGCCGTCGTGCCATTACCGCAACCATCGCGAGGCCTGGCTTTCATGGTGCCCTATGTCATCAAGTGGTATATGGGTGCTATGGTAGTCCTTCACTACGCCACGGCAATGTGATATGTGATAACTGATGAACTTAGGTTATAAAATTGTTTTTTTTGCTCGGTGAATGGAATTTTAGTTATTTATTCATATTTTATATGTGTATTGTTTTATTGTTTTATTGTTGCTGTGAGCGTAATAAATTTATTTTGTCATGCTCTTGTTTTTCTGTGAAATACGAGTAAATATTCCTTTTAAACTGTTTGGTATAAGGGGTCATCCATAAAGTACGTCACACGTAAAGAGGGGGGGAGGGGGTTGACAAAGTGTGACATGGTGTGACAAGGGGTGGGAGGGGTCCTAAGTTTCGTGACGTCAAATTTCAATTGTTTCAAATATTTGATATAATGTTGATTTCATAAAAAAAAGTACTTAATTTAAATGGAAATAAAACTAATTTCGGAACTGCTGTTAATTTAATAATTTTTCGATGTGAAATTGCAAAACATGTGACGTCACACTAGGGAGGGGGGGGGTCTCAGAAATGTGACCACCTGTGACAAGGACGGAGGGGGGGTCAAAAAATCATGAAATTCGTGTGACGTACTTTATGGATGGCCCCTAATTTAAAGCAATGTAATTTTGAGTAGGTATACAGTTAGGTAAGTAATACATAAGAGTAGTATCTACTTTACTTTTCTGAAAATTCAATTTATGTACCTATCAAATCTGCGGTTCGATACGAAAATAAAACCAATTAATTATTGATAGTCTTACGAGTATGTTGTGTGCAATAGAGAGATCTATCAATTTGACCTCTTAGTTCATTGAGTATTTTTTAAGGCTGAGTTGCATCATACAAAAAACACCGATTATCGTCAAAGTTTCGGTCAAAGTTAGGTGGTGCAACTCAGCCTAAGCATATTTCACCTTTTGAATCGGTACGTATAGATGTCCCACGCTGAACTGTCCCACCAAACTCAATGACAGGGGGACGCTACCATCGTTCAACTTTATGGTTTCCAACATGGCAAAAATCGGAACCAGCGATCCGGTATTGACGGTGGCGCCCCGCTGTCAATGTCATGGGTAGGACAGTTCAGTATTTTGGAACTATAAAGACTACGAACTACTTGTAAATATCGCAACAGCGCTAAGCGCGCCACTCGTGTTTCTTTTTAAACATTTTATAGCTTTGGGCTAAATCCTTTCAGCCTTTTACTTTACTAGTATTTTCATCCCATTCATAAATTCAAAGCACATATTAAAAGTACCTTAATGAAAAAGGGCTAATATAAAGTCGATGATTATTTAAAAGATAAAAATGTTTGGGATGCGTAACTGCCTAGCTCGCATAAATATTTATAACTTATGTATTTTGAAAACCTGTAAACCTTTGAAAAAGAGGCTGACAATAGTGTCTGAGTTTCTTGCGCTGCTTCTTCTCAGCACTGGCCCATTTATTGTCCTGAAGCAGTGGTAGGGTTAATACTGGGACGTGTAAAAGTGCTTTTTTAAAGCCTACTTACAGAAATAAATGAGTTTTATGAGTTTTTTTTTTATCATTCCTTGAGTTGAGCACTTGATGATTCTGCTATTTCGTAATGTCTATAAATCTTGAGACGTACCTATCTATTTTTTTATCCTCTCCTCCACAAAGAAGAACGGTCATCTGTGACCCAGGCCCGACAGAAACGAGACATACCTCATTTTTTTTGTCATGTCTTAATTAGTTAAATTATATATTTTTTATATTCGAAATCTATGTATAACACCAAAATATTACCCTTTGTTTTTGTTCAGGCGTTATACAAAAACTAACACAAAATGCCTATTTATCACCAAAATTGGTAAATGTATGTACCTAAATGTCTATTACAGCTGCTATGGAATATGTATCTAGGCGACCTGGAGATACAGCCGGATTATACAGGGTGGAAACGAGAAGTTACAAAATCCAAAAATTCAATGTTACCAGCTTCCATAATCTGTAACCTATTATTGGTACCATTTGAAAGAGCTCGTGAAGCACTTTCAGAATCAGTAACTAGTTTTTCGATATCTTGTGTAGTTTAGAAATAATCGAGTGAGATCACTTATCGTTCCATATGTATAACCACCCTGTATAATCCGGCTGTATCACCAGGTCACCTAGATACATTCCATAGCAGCTGTAATAGACATTTAGGTACATACATTTACCAATTTTGGTGATAAATAGGCAATTTGTATTAGTTTTTGTATAACGCCTGAACAAAAACAAAGGGTAATATTTTGGTGTTATACATAGATTTCGAATATAAAAAATATATAATTTAACTAATCAAGACATGACAAAAAACTGAGGTATGTCTCGTTTCTGTCGGGTCTGGGTTTTTTTTGTATGGGGCGTGACCGTTCTTCTTTTGTTTCGTTTGGTGCGTTTCGTTTCGCGCTCGACTTCAAAGTTAGACAGCGAAAGTATTTTAGATACCTAATTATATTTATTAAAAAAAAATGCCACCAATGGTTTCCTTCAAAAGAAAAAGAGGTCATCTTTTTCTTAAGATTTAAATAGTGGCATGTTTTGAAATAGTCTATGGTTTGACCGAAGCATTGTATGTACGTAGGTAGGTAGGTACGTACCTACGTCCAACTAAAAATAAACACGATAGCGAAGCGATACGAAGCTGGCCGATACCAATCGCGCGAGAACGAATCACTGGGCCACTGGCACAGATTTTAATAGTACTGTCAAATACTGTCATCTGTCACTGCGCGTAAATTGTGTTGTGAGAGTGTTTTTAACAAACAAACAATGGGGAGTATTTCATTAAATCTGAATAACCCTGCTGTTCAGGCTTATCTCGTGAGCGCGGGAGTGTTGAAGCTTAACATGGCGGTGTGGGGGCTCACTTCGAGATCCACATACAAGAGACGTGAACATGTGTTTGTTACTGAGGATAATATTTTTTTTATCGTTGCAGCGCTGTACCTTAGCACGGCTCCCGAGCCAGAACTGGCCGTGGATTTGTTTAAAATATACACTATAGGCCGAATCGGGCACACCATTGTGTATGACTTTACGCCATTAAGAGCAATATGTGCCAGTTTCCCCTTCTTCACTACAGTCTGCATGAGTGTTAGCGTAGTTATGTTCTATGCCAAAGCATTTCAACGCTGAATGAGTGTAAATTACAGTTTTACGGACAAAATTAGTACATATTTAGTTTTTTTTAATTTCGTATTTGATTTTGGTATGCAATATTAATTGATTTACTTTATTTATTGGAATAAGTCAGCCAGATGATTCAGGTGCAAGCTACACTTGTGTGCAGAGGATTCCATGCATTTAACGATGGTTTACGGCCAATAAGATTGAGAGATGATAAAATGTTTTGATATGATAGCGTACACAGTAACAGGTGACAGCATATCAAGGCAAACTGGCATCTAATCTAGATGTAATAGATGCTAAAAAAAGTGTAGTCAGACTTGTACATGTATGTCGGCTCAAAACGGAACAAAGCACTTATTGCGTAAGGCACCGGCCGGCGAGCGTAGCGAGTCCGAGCGAGAGAATAGCGACGACCATACGAGTCGACAGACGCCGATCACGAGGCAGACGGCATACGTTGTGCAAACGTTGTGTTGAGAAACATTTTATATAAAATCATAATCATGGCGAGCATTTCTCTGGACAATCCTGCTGTGCAGTCCTATCTCTTCTACTCGGGCGTGTTGAGCCTGAAAATGCTTGGGATGTCGTCGCTCACTGCAAGGCAAAGGTTTGCAAAAAAAGTGTTCGCGAACGAGGAGGACGCCTCATCTGCGAAAGGTGTTGTAAAATTCGACGACCCGGACGTCGAGAGAGTGAGGCGCGCACATTTGAACGATTTGGAGAATATTCCTGTGTTCTTCGCTGTGGGAGCTTTGTATCTGACTACGGCGCCTGACAACGATCTGGCCGTGAACCTGTTTCGGGCGTACGCCGCCGGGCGGATCTTGCACACCGTGGTGTACGCCATAAAACCTTTGCCTCAGCCGGCGAGGGCGATCGCCTTCAGTGTGCCTTGCTTCATCACAATCTTCATGGGCGTTAAAGTGGTCATGCACTACGCTAAAGCGTTTTAGATATAACAAGGCATTTGTGATAATTTTATTATAGTGTCCTAAGCAGCAGAATTTTGTTAAAATATCAAATTGATGTGTTTTAGTTTAGCAGTAAGTAGCTATGTACAAATATTATTATATGAAACGAATGAGTAAAAATGGTATTTATTATTTATCAGAAATAACTACCTATAATACCTACCAAAATGTCAACTTATTCATAGGTTAAAGATTAGCTAACGATGCAAAAAGCAGCCTTCATTTTAGGAAATACATAATATTTAATGTTTGAAAATGTCTCTCAACAAGAAACAAACATCAATGATGATGTCATACTCGGATTGTATGTGACTAAACAAAAATTGCTTGTTTCAGTGCAAAATAACTCAAAGAACATAATATAGCGTGTAATGAAATGAAATTAATGTTCATACCAAGATTTTACTAGAATAGTATTAAATAGGTATCTGTCATACGACTACGAGCGAAGTTGCTCTCTGTCTGTCACATACAATTTTGTAGAGACGCGCGACTGAACACCGCGGTCATATCGTGGAACGGTAAAATATTACGTCACCCAGACAACAACAACAGCCGTGAACAGCTTGGGCTTGGCCGACCGGCTTATTCACTGATAGACACTGTAGAATAACGCCCGCGTACGTAAAATTTACACAATGGTACTTTCTGTCAGCGATCCAGCGGTACAGTCGTACATATTCTATTCAGCTATATTGGGCTTGAAGCTGTTAGCCGTAGCAGTGTTGACTGGGCGCGTGCGCTACAAGAAGAAAGTGTTCGCCAACCAAGAAGATGCTAGGACTAGAGACAGCAAAGTGAAGTACGACGACCCAGATGTAGAGCGAGTGAGACGGGCCCATTTGAATGATTTGGAGAACATTCCTGTATTTTGGGTGCTTGGTGCGTTGTACCTGACGACGGCGCCGGTTGCTTCGTGGGCAACGTTGCTGTTCCGAGTGTTTACGATTGGTCGGCTGATCCACACTTTCGTGTATGCTATTGTACCGTTACCGCAGCCAGCAAGAGGAATCTCCTTCGGTATCCCGTATCTTATTAACATATACATGGGTGTGCAAGTCGTGATGCACTACGTTTCGGCATGGTAAAGTTTATCGACCGCTAGTGATAGTGTGATGTGTTAGTGAAAACTGAGGTCCATATTATGAAATGACACGTGAAACAATTCTAGCTTGTTATGGTCTAACTAAATCATTATTTATTTAATCATTTTTAATAGTTTCAGTAGAACTGTTTTCAATTGAGTTATTAGCGCTGTTTCATAATAAGACATGCCTGAGAGTGTTACGTGTTTAACGTGTTGGTTTTTCTATTTGATACTTTTTGTATTTTTGTTTAAAACGGGGTATTATAAAAAATCTTAAAATGGTTGTGTTTTTATTAAACCCATAGTTACAGTTAAATAATTTAGGTACCTACTTATTTAAAAGTAGGCATAAGGCAAAATAGGTAGGTAATGCATGACAGACACTTTTTTATCTCTATTACTTTTCTGGCGATAAGAAAATTTATTTCCATAACAATCTTAATTCTCACAGAATTAATATTAGTCTGACCGTTTTTTACATAGTTTTTTATACACTGTAGTAGAGAAAGTTATGCCTTCGATGAAAGAGATTTTAATTACGGTGTTAAGGAAATTATCTCCTAAATTCTAACAAACCAATGGAACTGAGAGAGAACATATACTCGTAAGCTTTGTTAACTAATTGCCTTTAAAATATTAGTGGGTATAGCATAAGTACCTACTCGTATAATATTAAAAAAAAACAAGGAATTTCTTAACATCAACAGTAATAATTGTATCAAAGCACACTATAGAATGATCGCTGGTTATTTATTTCATAACGTTCAATTTAGACCAATTTAGACTATACCAAACGTAGCTCCGTTCTGCAGCGCTTAATTCAAAGTAATTGAGTGCAAATACCGTAAAGGCTTGTATTAGTTTATAGGTGGGGCAGTGCGGGCTATAACTGCGACCATCCCCTGTTCTGGGGCAATAAACACATTTCTTTAAGCCACACGACCTCCCTTTCGGCTTTATTCCGAAAGCCATTCGGATGTTTACTGCCACCGTTCGTTCCACATTATTGCTTTGTTATTGCAGAGGAACGCGTTTTGAATTTTAACATCAGTCGATTATTGAGCTTCTAATAGCCAATAACATTAAATTATCTAAATTCTTGACGTATATAAAATTAAAAAAATATTTGAGACACCAAAAGCTTCAAATATACAGACATGTTTCGTGGTTAACTAAAATGAAAAAAAAAAAAACAATAAATAATAATAAAATAACAATTTCCAATTAAGTTTTTTTTTGTTATATGAAAAGTTTTCATAAAGCGCATTGTCAATGTTCAGGAGTCATTTTCTTTCGGTGATTTAGGTATATTGATATTTTAACGTCATTACACCGTGTAATTATTTTTTTTGTTTTTTTTCCTGTGATAATTTTAATGTAGAATGAACAAATTTCGAGTCGAATATAATTCGACCTTTGTAACTGACCCATTAAATTGACATAATTACTGGATACCGATTTAAAAAGATCACGATGACTGCGCAAAATTTTGTATTTGTACAAATAACATGCTCGGCATTGCTCGGTATTCCTCACTCGTCGTATACGTGCTCATAATATCAGTCAACAACAAGCCAGATAATTGTTCTTTATCTACCTGCCCCACCCGATTAACTACTTACTGATGCTAAAACTAATTGATAGGAAGGGAACATAAGTGTACACGAACTACAATAACAACAATTTATATTATGTTGATTCCAAATGAACTAAATCTATCTCGTTTTGTATACAGGGTGTTTTCTTTGTTTGGTGCTCCAACGAAAAGGTTTATTCCGTCTCAAATAACAATTTTCATAGGGGGACTAAAATCTATAATGTGTCTCTGTTGAGACTTTTTATTTATCCGAATATCTCTTAGATGTTGACTATACCTACTACAAATTAAACTTCCAGTGTTAGATAAATTGAGAATGATTTGTATTTAACAACTTTTCAAGTTTACAACAGTTTACAATCAGTTTTCTCACTAACTCTTTGTATTTCAGAATCGGAAGAGAACCAACCTCCACACGTCATTTACATTACCTTCTTGAAAGTTACATGCATTTTATTATTTTGAGTATTCGTAAGCAAATAGGTAGGTATTTATTTAGATAATAGGCCTCAGTTGAACTTTGAACTAGCTAAGTCACAAGGCTGCTAATGCTGCTATTTACTTACTTGCTACAATGTTTTTAAATAGGTAGGTACTTAAAGGATGTAGTAGATAGTTATATTCTTCTGTTTACAAAATCTAACGTGAGAATTTCACTGAATGATAAAAATGTTAATTCCATGACGCCTTCGCCTATGGCTTTGTGTATTCATACAATCTCAGAACAAACAAAGTAATAAGTAATTAGTTTTATCTAGAACCGCACTTAACAATAATCGCAATTTTCTACGATTACCTACCTACAATCTACATAGGTACATACATAATAGATAATTACCGGTATCTAATTACAAAAAACAATCGCTTATTACAAAAGTACACGACATGCACAGTGTGCACACTGATAAATCAAGTGTTCAAAAATGTAGAGTCATTCAGATGGTGACCTTCTAAAGAAACGTATAGCGATGTTCGATCTGTCTAGCGTCATCTGTCGGTGATTGATGACAGACGGGCGATTTGGAACAACTTGTCAGGGCTGCTATAGCCTCGTCAACCTCCAAAGCGAAAGCCAGCCATTTCAAAGCCGTAAAATCACACGTCGTTCGTCTTGAAAGGGATAAAACAAAGGTAAATTGACAAGTTTCCCTGATGTTTTCCAGTAGATTTCACATGATAACTACGAGTAGGTACTTACTCTTTTAAGAAACTACTTACTATTCTATCTATCATTTTAGTCAGTGCTATGAAGGAAAATTATAAATACTTTTAAGTTATGGTCTTTTATAATTGCACTAGATAAAGTGACGTTAAAACAAATTTTAATTTCGTGATCGCTTTTTGCAACGAAAATGTACAAAAATAACGCAGCAAAGCGATCAGGAAATTTAACCTGTCACGAGCTTGTTACTATGTTTATAGGGACTGAAATCTGATTTCTTAGTCTTTGACTAATATACCATCCCGTTATAAGCTAGATTAGTTATTAATCTGGATCTAGGTTGAAAAAAACTTACAAAGGCAGTAAAAAGTATGATGATTGATGAGGCTGAGTTAGGGATAAAAAGGCTCAAAGGAACTAAAGTACCGGGTTAGTAGTAGTTTCGCACTATTTTCCTTCGCACGAATGTGCGAAACGTCCCCTTTAAAAAAATTTTTTAGTAGGCGTTTCGCCCGGATTTGTCAAAAGTATTAAAAACGGGTGCGAATCGACCCCTTTGAGAACTAGTAATCGCATACTAATAGTTCAAAAAGAGTCGATTAGCACGCGATTTTAATACTTTTAATACATCCGGGCGAAAGGCCTACTAAAAAAAATTTTTTTTGAAAGAGGACGTTTCGCACATTCGTGCGAAGGAAAATCGAGCGAAACTACTACTAACCCAAAGTACCTACCTAACCTACCTTACTTTGACAGTTACGTACATAATAAAATTAATAAAAATATTGTATTAAATATTTAGTGAATAGCTACATACCTAGCCCATTTAAAATTGTTTAAATAAGAATTATAATAATGTAATAATGTAAACTAAATCTCGGAAAATTCTTTTGAAATAAATTTTTGCGAGTAAATATTGAAAATAAATAAATAATAATCTTATATATTTAAAATATGATAAGAAAACATTAAAATTAAATGTTTTCTTAACACACAGTTTAAATACAACTACATACTTATAAATACAAGAGTACAGTATTTCTTATGTTTGAGACGTGTAAATAGACGCAATGAAAGTCCACATTGAATATTCCCGCTTTTGAGCCCTCTGCCCCATCCATCCTCCGCCAAGCAAAAAATGTAAACACAATTTGCTAGTATTCGACTGTATGTCAAGTGTGTGTGCGTACAATCTGAGAATCGACCGGCCGGCAACAATTCCTCACAACAACACTGCGTCATCAAGGTTAGAAATACAACTTATTTATTTCAAAATTGATCCTAGTTAAATAATCTTAGAAAATAAATTCACAATTCGTAATTTGTTTGATCAAGTTATACGAAACAGCACAGACAGAACATGCAAACGTGTTACTGACAGGTAGTGAAAGGAGACAGAGCTATAAAGTAAAAGAGATAAATGTATGCGTTGTGCGGATAAAAATAGCCTGTGCGTGTGCGTGAGATGTCAGCGCGTGCTGTCACTGTGTGATGAGGGCGCTAGTAGCGCTTGACAGAACCGTTCTACAAAACCATAGATAAATAATATCTATGACAAAACTAATAAATGGTTGTTGTTTACCAATAATTTAAATTGTATAACACCGAGCAGTACGTCTTTTCCTTTAAACAATAAGAAATCGCAGAAGAATTTATTGTTCGGATATACTCTTCATAATATGAACTCAACATTTTGTCTCGTAAAATTTTTATTAGTTATTACCAGGCCTGGCTCACTCCGCGCGGTACATCCGATAATTACCTACAGCGAAGCGCCCCGCCGGCGGGCATTATATCAGTCGAGTGTCACGCGCGCGCCCGTCAGGACGCTGGCGTGCGTTGTAGTACCTAATTCTATGATCGAAGTATAATTTAAAAATGGACATAAAGAGAAAGAAATATTATTGTGCGGCGTTCGGGTGTTTAAATTCGAAAAGAAATCTACCGGATTTATCTTTTTTTTCGCTTCCCAAAGATGCTGAAAGGTATGTTGGCCATGTAGGTAATCAATAATTCTTAGGATAGTATAGGAACCTAACCTACCATGACTACTGCTCAGAATGCGTTCGTTCGTTTCAGCCAAATGTCTTTGTCCACTGCTGGACAAAGGCCTCTCCCAAGGTTTTCCATAATGAATGCGTACTTACCTTATACGTACCTCATTACAAATAAGTAGATTATTTATTTTTTCACTAGACAGCAACCCTAACAGCGTAAGAAGAGTTCAGAGGCACGCGATAGAAAGAGACAAAACTTGTAGGTGAATAAAATTGTAGGTACGTAGTGCTGTGCGAGCTGAATTCCACTGTATCGCGTCGTAGCAAGACTCGCATTTATTTAAATCGTCTTGCGGAGTAATCCTTCTGTACCTGAGCCCCGATTACGGTAACTTTTAACGTCAACAATCCAGACACGCTTCTCGATTCTGCGATACGATTGGTCGTTCAACAGCGTACGTCAGCTGTTTTGACCAATCGTATTGCAGAATCAGAAACGCGTCTGGATTGTAGACGTTAAAAGTTACCGTAATCGGGGCTCTGTACTATTACTTATTCTGTGTTATTACTTAGTAGCTTTTCCACTCTTTACAACATCATGGTAATTTAGATTTAGGTAATTTTAATTTTATGCTACCAGGTTTGTCCATACTAGTGGGATCATGGTGGGAATTTAATTAAATAATTAAAATGTATTCTTTGTTCTTAATGTCCCTATTATTTATTCATCTTGTCTCCACTGGTGGGGACAACGGAAACAAACCAATATTTCAATAAAATTAATAAAACTCGAAAATAACTATGATGTTATACAAATAATGTTATGTAAGTATACCAGTGTATAGCCTGACCAAGAACATAAAAACCCTGGCATAGAGGCGCGTCAATTGCATTTGATAGTGCAACACTGAGTACAGTCGTACCTGTGTTAAATTAATAGGCTAACTTTATGTATCAGGATTACGGGCTAATTTGATATTTTCATAAATTAACGAAAAACTATTATTATAGGTAACCTGGTTTAAATAAATTAAATGAAACCATCAATCGAGTTAGTAGGATTTATTTTATTATTCATCAATAATCAAATTCAGAACTTGAATATTCAACTGCAATGTCTGCTCATGAACGCTTCAAACTCGGTACTTCTTTCCCAATTCCATAAAATTCAACACTTAGAAAGTGACAAAAAACTTTAAAATAGGTAGTTGAAACAAACCACAGCTAATTTTCATAGTGGACTGTACTATACGATAAACATTTCAGTCAATTTGACAACCTTTGTTGGAAACATTATTCAATGAAAATATTGTCCGAACCTTTGGTATTTCTCTTCGACAAATACTTTAACACATTGTGAACCACTTTTCTTTCACGACTATAAAAAGATTTTAGCAATTTCATTTACAAAATCAATTGCGCACATTTAAAATAAAGTTTGTTTACACTTTGACAGCAATAGACTGACATGCAAGGTGACATGTCAATGAAGTTTTCAGTTACTGTTGCCATTAAAAGAAATTAGTACCATTAGTTTTCCGCAACATGGCGAGGGTTTTTATGTTCCTGGTCAGGCTATATGTTACTTTAATGTCAGCGTGAAGATGTGCCAGATACGACACACAAACGCGCAAATAGTATCAAAATACACATTTTAGGGCGCGTTAGGGCGAAAGTTAATCGACAGAGTCCTCGCTAACTACCCACCCTCCGAGCGATCCTACTCAAACCGTGCTCACGTGTCAAGGAATATTGAACATGTCACAGATAAATTCGAAAAAATCTCGAATCTATGTGTCCTAAAAGAACTCAATTCGGTTGTGATTTTGGCGACCCAAATTTTGTATTGATCTTGAATTATCATCATGCAAGGATTATTATTTAAAAAAGGACAAACATTATGAGATGAAAGTAACAGAAATACTAGGTAATTTGACATAAATAATAATATCTTATTTCAGAGGTATTCCTCGAAGCGCACCCATTTTGAGGTTCACCTAATAAAGCGCACCTAAACAGCTGTTTAGGTGCGTATAAGCGCGCATAAGCGCACCTATGTTATGTGGCCCTGGTACTTTTTGTTCATCTTAGTAGACACAACGTTCAAAATCTTAATAAACATAGGTCCGCTTCAGTAGGTGCGCCTCAAAATAGGTGCGCTTCGAGGAATACCTCATATTTCAGTAGAGGTAATTGATTAGGTACATAACTACTATTGTATTTACTTACCTTTGTAAATAAATCGCATGACACGGTGTGGAACACTTTCCCGTAAATGCAGATGTCTTTGCCGTTATTCAGGTCCTTCCAGTGCCAGAACTCGCCAAGATCGTTCTTCGGTATCTTTGCTCTCTTCACCATACGGCCCTGCCATAGTCCAGAATTCTGAAAAGATAGGTTTAAGTTTGATATTCAGTTGTTGAAATAATAGAATGACGTGTCACGCATAACAATTATTATGAAAATCAAATAATCTCCTGCTCCTGTTATTTTATTCTTATAAATCTAAAGACTTCCTTTACTCCTTCCATCCTAATGCCCATTCTTTTGTAAATAATGGCAACAAGTGATCATTCCAGATACGGGTCTTAAAATGCCATTTGTATTTGTTACAATCAATCAATGTTAGGAACGACAACGCAATTGCAATATTCCCGGGCAAACGAGACCGAGTTTCCTTGTATTTTTTATTGAAATTAATCACTTATGAAAGATTATATTGCGATGACGAACGTTTTACGGCCGCTAGACAGCCTGCAACGACGCATTCTGGCAAGACAAATGCGTGCTCATTTAATTTTGCCCGCTCCATTCCTCCGCACAATCGTACACGACAATCTCTTAGGCCGGGAACACAAGCGCAGATTTATTACTAGGCACTTTGTAAATTTAAAAATATTGGAGAACCACCCACGACTTATTAAGTTAAGACCATGACGCAACGGAGTTATTAAGTTCAATTTGTCTTCGAATCTTAAATTGTCTTCCTAATAACGAAGTAAATAAGTTAAACGTGTATCGTTTTTTCATGTTTTCTGTTAATTTAATTTTTAATTTTGTTTAAGTTTATTGTTTACGTTAAGTTATTGCCAACGATATTTTCGTAGCTTGAAGTGCTACGAAAATGGTCGCATCGTAGTCGTAGCACTTTTTATGTATAGAAATAGAGATCCCCCGTTTCTAAATTCAAAGGATTAGGGGGACTTCACTCATTGGAAGTTAATTATGAATGTTTTCTCGTACAGTTTAAAAGAAATCTAGTTAAAATCGACCATTGATGAAAGAAAATTCAGATAAGTAGTGTAGTATGCGTATTCTCTTATATTAAACATATTTCATGCGCATATTCTGAACATGTACGAGTACGGTTCGTACATTGTCAAGCGTGAAAAAGATACAACCGTTAATGTTTCTTGCTTCAGAACCTACCTTTGGGAGGTTGTATATTAGACGATTTTGTCTTTTAAAGTTCAAATAAGTACCTACTTATTTGACTAGTATTTATCAGTTACGTATTTTTGGAGATGTTATTTTGTATAATCTATAGCTCTTTTTGATTTATTTATTTATGGCAAACATTAACAAAATTCAGTATAACATCAGAAATTGGTTATAAGGTGTTGACACATTTCTTTGACAAGGCTCCACAACAAATTACTTCCCCATATACTTTGCTTTGTTTGCTTGTGAAACGCGGTGGTATTTTTTCGAAACATTTTATCAAAAGAAAGAGGTAACAGCCTAATTATTTCGACATCGAACGGCAGTGTTGCCGCGGGCTAAACATTTTTTCGAGTAGCGGCCGCGTTCTTTCATTTTATTTATTTAATAAAACCCTATTTCTTTTCAAATAAACCTAGGTAGGTACGAGGCAATTGAGTAAAACAGATTAAGGCTCTTTTTAATCTCAACGAGCAGTATTTAAATTAAGCGGATGCGGCAGAGAAAGCTCGGAGATGAGCAGCATTGTTTATCCCGTGATTATTGAGGGTGAATAGCGGGTTTCACTGTGCCTTGGAAAAGTAAATAAAACGGGACGGTGCCTTCGTGACGTAACCACACATCTATTATTAAGTTGCCTTTTAAAGCGGCTTTTTAATTGATTTAATCATTCACAAACTTTATTAAGTCCTTAGCATCTTAGAGGTTTGTTAGCAATGCAAATAACTTAAAATGTTTTTGTTCCCCTCCTCCCACACATGAGCAAAATACTAGCATTGTTGCTAAGAATATTTCAGGTTAATGCTGT